TTAGTTGGCCATTAGCACCAACTAAAGCATAGAGCACTCTTGCTTCAGGATTACCTCGCTTTAACCCACACCCTCTTTCTCCATCGTTAAGTAGGAGAGGTAAGATCCGAGACTCCTGGATTTTCTTCTCTCTCTTTTTAATTTTACTTTAGACGACTTCTCCTTAATTAGCATTTCTACTATGTGGGTGTTTGACAAAGTGTAAAAAGCAATTTGTTTTTAAACTAAATTTTTTCTCATAGATTTAAAAAATTGTTAGAGAAAATTTAAAAATTAATTTCTAAAATGATTTTTAAATAAATTTTAAGAAAATTATACATCTTAATTTTTTTAAAATTCATTTAAAAGTTATTTTCAAAGTTAATTTTTAAATCTGTCTAACACGATTTTAAATTCAATTCGTAAAAGACAGTTTTGTTTTCAAAACAAATATTTTTTAAATTTTACCAAAAACTCTTTATAATTTGTAATGCTTTAAATAGGTTTAGTAGTCCAGATAAAAAGAGAGCAATTTATAAAGCTTTAAATATTATCTTTTTCTTTTTTCTTTTTTTTTTTTAATTATCTATACTTGTTTTAAAGGAAATCAGAATTTTTATTTTGAAGTTTTTAACCAACACCCATCGCATGTCAATGCGCTATATTCCAGTCTGAGAGGAGAAATTAAAGAGTTGCAAAGAGGTCCATTTATGGCAGAGGGTAACAACCACGCCGAACACCTCGCATTGGATGTCCATTGGACAACCAAGTACAAAAAATTGCTTTTAGAGGATTCTACCATCTCCCGAACTACCTGCATCTTCAAAGTTCCGGACACGCTCAAAATGCAAAATCCACAGGCTTATAAGCCCCATTTCTTTTCATTGGGTCCCTGGCACTTTGGCGAACCATACCTGATGGAGGCTCAAAAGTACAAAACGAACTTTCTTGAAAACCTTGTTCGCCGTTTCCCAAGTCCAGATGATAAGATTAAAGAGTTGGAAATTGTAGTATCCCAGGTGAAGAGCGAAGCTTGTGAATGCTATGGGGGTTTGGGAGCCATCAATGTCGACAGCAGACAAGAGTTCGAGAAAATTTTGCTGTTGGATGGCTGCTTTATTATTGAGATGCTTCGGAAGAGAGATGCATATGGACTCATACCTACAAACTACAGTGAACGGTTCATCTTCTCCAATGCCATGATTCCGACTTGGCGTCATGACCTGTTTTTGATAGAAAACCAAATACCTTGGTTTGTGCTTGAGCGCTTGTATGAGCGGACCAGAGACTCAGAGCAAGACAAGCCTTTGGTTGAACTTGCAATTGATGTTTTCTACTCTATATTTTCATATGACAAACTTCGGATACAGCCAAAAAAGATCAACCACATCCTCGATCTTGCGTGGCATTATGTGGGCTTCTCACCAGAACAACCCAGATGGGGCGATGAACACTTTGACCAAAACAGGCATAATATTCCTTCTGCTACAAGCCTTCGAGAGGCAGGAGTCAAATTCAGAAGAGTTGAGTCAAGAAGAATCTTGGATATAAGGT